CTCAGATTGCGAGTCGAGCTCATTACCCACCTGGCCATGCCGGCCTCGTTTAGATCTAAGAAATAAGCTATCATGTCCTGTTCACTCCGAAACCAAAGGTTAATAATTCAACATTTTTAGCAATTATAAGACAGGTTATGGTTTTTCACTCACCAAGAAAATTTCCAACATGTCCTGACTGTATGTTGACTGTTTCAATAACTACCAAGAAAGAATATTTAAATCTCCAGTTTCTCATCATTCATTGCGTATAAGCAATGGGCATTATTTTTAAATTGCTATTTCGAGCTTATAACTGCACAAAACTCACAATCAGTTATTCACTTTAACAGAAAACGAAGCCATAATTTGTAAAATAACTCATATTTTGTTATAATGAATAACAAATCTCATATGTAACCAGCTAAGAATTGTAGCTTCTAGTCATGATAGCTTTCATCATAACTGTCAGGTCGATTATAAAGGTTGTTATCTAAAAGCATTATATATACCATACCTTTAGGGGTAGGATACAACTTGATTAGGGGCTATTTATGCAAATACTTTTCTACCTTTTGACAGTAAGACAATATTTGAAGCTATGATTTGTAATTAGCTTTATTCCTCGTGTTTTTTTTTCTCATTTTGTAGTAATAAACATTATTTATATGATTACTTTCACTTAGTAATACTTCTAATACCAATATCAGTTAAAGAATTAGAAAGACCAGAATACCTTGTTGCCATGAAATAGTACACAGATGTACGCGTTAACAAGAGAACCTACACTGAGTGAACAAGTTATTCTAACCTCGACTGAACAGATTGATTTACTCTAGACAGTTAATCAGAAAAAAATTGACCAATCACTTGTAATTGCTAGAAACCCCTCTTGTTGATGTTTTTTTCAGTTTCCCTTGATGCTCGTCCTATAGTGATACCAATCGTGTCGTGTGTGATCTGTTTTCCACTACTTGCATTTGCCATAATTTGTGCTCTCAGACGTAGAGCACAACGGCACCGAAGACGAGAACACATGAGGCGTCTAAAAGTGGGGTAAGTGTTGCTTGTAATACTAAATATTTAATTCAAGATATTCTTCCAAAAAGCTCTTACTTAAAAATTATACATAAATTTCCAGTTTCTATCTATCAATATTATTTTCTTAATTTATATGCAATATCTTTGTAAAAATTATATCTAAACGATAACCTAAGGACGTAGTACAAAAACTAAGTTGATGATCCAAGAATCCATATAACCAAGTTTTGAACAAATTAGCTGAATTTTGATAATTCGAGAGTTTTGAGCAAATTATATTTTCATATTTTAAAGTGATAAGAGTGAAAAAAATCTCATATGACAAATCTTTAAACATCATTACAATTTTTACTTAATTTGATCTTTCTAGATGTTTAGAAGTTGGTCTGAAGAACATTTGTATTTGAATATTGATGCTAATAGACGAAATCTTTTCATTTCAGATATTGAAATTATTTTAAATCTATTTTCTTTTTTCTTATACTAAGTACATATTTATCAAGTTAGCCGGCTTTTCTTATAAATTCGGCTTTCAGGCATTCACCAACTTTATCTTTTTCCGGAATGACACTACATTGAACGCTAACTTGGAGAATGGGAATTGAGTTCTTCGTAATAAAACATAGTTATGAAAGATTTGATAGACTCTACCGGAGTTCACTTGAAGAATGTGAATTGAATTTTTTGCTATGAAATAAAGCTTTAAACGATTTGGTAAACTAGCATGATATTCATTTGGAGATCATTGAGTCATTCACTGTAAAACAAAATTTTAAAGGCGTTGACAAAGTATATTGGTGTTCACGTGAAGAATATAAATTGAGTCCTTCGTTATAAAACATAGGCTTAAGCGACTTGGTAGAAAAAGCTATTAATTAAGAAGTGCGTTAGAGCCTGGCATTGGTTCGTTTAAATAGTATTCTGTTCGGACATCATAAATGTATCCAGTAAATAGTTATCAGTATATATTTTATTCGCGCTACAGATATACTTCTTCAAATGGTTATTTCGTCGAATGTCTGATTGGTCATTTCATTCGTTTTCTTGTTATATAATAGGATATATGGTACTATCAAAACTAAAGACTGTATTTAAATTAAAAGTTTCATTATTTTTCTTTTTGCCAGACTAATATTTATAGCTGGTTTACATTTTTGTGTTCAAATAATGTTTCTTGCTACAACATTGCCCAATTTCCTGACTATCTATCCATGCTATTAAGATATTTTTACTAATATCAGAATGGGTAACTTTAAAGCTTTCGCTGTAGTAACAGCTTGAACTCAAGGTGAGAATATTCTAAAAATACTTGAACATATGTTCTTTGATAGTAGCCCATTTATCCAAGACTATGGATAAAATTGGTTCAGACAAAAATGGAGCAAATGTGGCGTTCGAGCTTCTTCCAAAATTGTTCAGTTGAATTGAGATCCAGTAATAGTGCTGGTTACATAATATGACTGAAGTCACTGTCATACTCTTGGAACCCATGATGGACAACACGAACGCTATAGGTTGTTCATTGTCATGCTCTTGGAAACCATGTTAGATTGTTCACTATCATGCTCTGGGGAAACTTGTTTTACAATACAAGCGCTTTTGATTGTTTTAATATCACCTTCGAAGATGCTTTGTTTACTAATGATGAAATCCAGCACTATGGAGGGATCTTGTAACAAACTCTCACATACACTTTGAATACTATTTATTCTTCTAAAGAAATCGAAGAACTCCCTCCCATCTCACGATAACGTTTCTTATCCTATTACAGCACATCCAGTATCTTGCATTATTGATACAATACGAATAGGGTCAAATGTCTCATAGCTTTCTTCATATATTTACCCCCGCTAGATTACTGGAAAAAAAAAATGTAAAATGATTTGCTATACCATCTTACACATTTATAGGCACTCTTTTGTCAACAGTTTGGGTATTTATACTAAAGAAATATGTTTTCTTTCTGCGTTTGAGATAAGCAGCGTTCTGACTGTTTTATAATAACCACGTGAACCTTTTTATAATATAATGAACACGGTACGGTTGAGGATAGTTGAAACCTGAACATATTTTATCCAATCACTCAAATCAATCATAGACTATTGCCTGTTGCACTTAACAATCCTGTCTAATCATCTTTTCTAGTTATTAGTTACAGTTTTTCCCCAGTCTGCTCTTTCGATAGATTCTGATGACAAATTACTTTGAACAGCTGGTCAAAGAAATGGTCTTTAATAATACCACTCCTGCAAGACGATCACTCACTATCATGACCCTCTTTAAGTCTTACAGACCTGTGCCCTTGCTTATTGTTTCGTAGATTAACTGTAACATTTCAAAATTATGGATCAAGTTATCACTTGACATATCACATGATCAGTCTCTTTTGCACATGCAAGTATTTAATGTTAATTGCATGAGTGCAGGGTGGCCCTAATAAAGTAGCCAGTCATCATATAGTCTATTAATGTCATGTAATTATGTGGAAGCCTTTGAAAAGGTTTATTATTGATATGAAACATAACAAAAGCTATGACAGGCGGTGATAAGTTAATACACTGACATGAACCCAAATGATTGGTTCGAAAAACAAATCCACAGCTTACATGTCACAGTCGTGATAAGTATATTGGTATAAAAATACCAGATATTTAAGTTGTTTCTCCACACTTGATTGTTTTATATTAGACACTTCGATTTGTTTAATTTTTATAGCTTCTTCTTTTCTATTCAACATAACTTTTCTGTGCCCCGCTGTTTATTAGGCGTTAACTAATCAAAGATGTAGCCGATAAACATACCAAGTCGAACATGAAAAACCCAAATAAAATTAAATTATTGTGAGTGATTTTGGTAATATATAAAATGTTTAAAATGTTGTCAGCCAATGGTCAGATTTATACAGTGTTAGAAAATAATTAAATGTAGATCACAACCTTCCTATACAAAACAGACAGTCAGATATATACGTATAGTACAGTATACTTAAAACAAATAAACTTCCGAAGTCGATATACCTCCTAATTAAATACAGTACCTTGCAAAAGTATTCCCCCCTACCAATAATGTTACATTATGATAAAATACAAATAATGTAAAAAAATTATTTAATGAACTTGTTTTTATTCAAAACTCTAATGATCAAACTTAACACTGTTATATGTGAAGGAGGTTGAATGGCAGCAAACCCTGCAAAGAAAATATATAAATTGAAATTTACTGATTGCGTAAGTATTCAGACCCCTAATTCAGTACATGGTGGATGCACCTTTGGCAGAAATTACTGCTGTGAGTCCTTTTAGATAGGTATCTACAAGCTTTGCACACTGGGATGGTGTAATTTTTGTCCATTCTTCCTGGCAAAATTACTCCAATTCTAAAAGCTCGTTGTGGATCGTTGATGGACTGCAAACTTCAAGTCTCGCCATTGATGTTCTATTGGATTCAAGTCAGGACTTTCACTGGGCCACTCCAGGACATTAATTTTCTTCTTTTGAAACCTTTCCAATATGGTTTTGGCCTTGTGCTTCGGGCCATTTACCTAATGAAATGGAAATTTTCGACCCAGCTTTAGATTCTTGGTTGACTCAAGCAGGTTTTCTTCTAGGATTCGCCTGTACTTGGCACCATCTATCTTCCCCTCAATCCTGACAAGCTTCCAGTTCCTGCTGATGAGAAGCGTCCCCAAAATATGATGCTGCCACCACTATGCTTGACAGTTGGGATGGTGTTGACTGAGTGATATGCTGAGTTGGCGTTGCGCCAGACTTAACGTTTTGAATTTAGACCAAAATGCTCAATTTTTGTCTCGTCTGGCCACAAACCTTTCTGCCACATGTCTGTAGTATCATTTACATGATTTGTCGCAAACTCCATACGAGATTTAAGATGATTATTTTTCAGTAATTGCTTTTTTTCTTGCCACTCGCCCATACAGGCCAGCTTTTTTGTAGGGACAGGGATATTATCGGTGTATGAACATTGACTCTCATCTCAGACTGGAACTTTGAATAAAAAATAAAACATTTCTAATATATTGATTTTTTTTCTCTATTTTTGTTGGAATCCATTTTAGTGCTTTCTAATATATGATAATATAAATGCTATATTACAGAGTGCGAGCAGTGACACTAGAAATTCCAGGATTTCGGGAAAGGCCTTCCTTCTTTTCCCGCGATTCATCGTCAGATGTTAGTCCCAAGACTGGAGATAAGGCAGAAATCGAACCAGAACTGCCTTCCGGAATGATGTACTCGAGGCGTGCTTCCAAAGGTATCCAACACCAGGTCAAATTCTTGACCACTTCTGCTGTTCTACATGTTCCCCGTCGCCCGAGCCACAATGGACGTCTCAGACAAGGGTCAAAGGTCGAAGTGACATTTAGAGATGAACCTTCTTTCATCGAGAACTCCATCGATCTAAGTGAAGAACTAAGAGATATGACTCACAGGTAGCATAAAAAAATATTTTCTGTAATCGAAATAAGGGTGTTTAACAAATCAGGAAAACCTAAACAAAATCAGTCAAACTTGTCTTAAATGTGGTTAAACATTTAATCCCAAACGAAACTTTCCCGAATACCTTAATATCTACTATATTTGTATTTATGTGACTAAAAAAGGAACTTAGCTGGAACCAAGTGCCTCGATATTGTCAGTGAAATGTTCTTGTGTTGCTCGTATACTGAAGATGGTGGGAAAAGATATCCCAGTGTGTGTATACAGATGTTACACCATAAGAAAACTTGCACTGCTTCTCGGGAAACCCTTATTTCGTCAAATGCTACCGGATTAAACTATTTAATTGTCAAATGGTGTATATGAATATTTGATATTTGTGCTCATAAAAAATAAACCATTGCTAATATATTGATTTCTCTCTCTTTTGTTGTTGTTGTTGTTGCAATCCATTTTATATACATCATCTCTTTATAGAATGGGAATTTGGAATAGAAATATTTATCCTGAGCGGCACCTTACACGCACATGGTTTCCAAGTCGAAGATCCCTAGGTTTCAGACATAGTCATCCATAATGTTTAACTACTGACCAAAGCGTTTACTTTAATCAAGACAAACAGAAACTTAGCAGCAAAAATAATGACAAATATAGCAGTAAAAAGGGAATGGAAATACGGCTAGGAATGAGCTGGTCGTATTTTTTCAATACACTCAACTGTATCATGCCTTATATCGAATTTATCGTGTCTTCGGTTTTACGAATATCTGAAAGAATATGGGTAGGCATACCAAGGTCCTCGCCTCCTTTCAGGATTGAAAGTCTAATCAAGTATTGTAGACGAAAACCCAAACTTAATCTACCAGTAAGAATCGTGTCTGAATAAGTTACATTATCATTTTGACATAAACACCAAGAAGACGCTATCTTTCTAGAAGATTTGTTCAGCTGAAATCCAACATGCGTTTCGAAAAACTATTTTTAGCTCATTTTATGTCAAATAATATTTATGTTTGAGGAATATTATCGTTTGTTTGAAAATTCTGTCAACCTGGAACGAGAAACAATAGCAATTTTATTGAACAAGCTGGGCAATCTCAACACTGCGCAACTTTGTGAATAACATAAATTTTCCAATCGCTTTTTTTTAACGTTTTTCAAACTAGATTTTTCACATCAAGTAATACAAAATTGAACTTATTAAAGAAACTGTTACATTCATATATATATGTGTGTGTGTGTGTGTGTTTGTATGCGTTTTTGACTTATATTAAACAGTAATTTCAGCTTAATCTCCAAAACGTCTTCGTAACATTGATATATATTAAACATAACTTTCAATCTGTTTGATTTGATGTTAATCATAAAGCTACATACGGGTTTGTCTGTGCTCTGCATACCGCAGATATCAAAATCCTTACCGCTGAATGTCATAAGATTTTGAACTTTCTGAGGAATAAAGAATATATTTTTACACGATACATGTATTATCAAGTTTATTTATATCAGTTTATATTTTGTTGGTATTACGTGTATAGTTCTGACACTTTTTGAGAAATTAATAGAAACATTGTGAAAATAGCTGTGGAAAGGACTAATACATTACAATTATACACCTTTTCAATTTTCTTAGTGCCACAGCAATCGTTTCTAATATAAAGAAGTTAGTTTTGTTACTGCAAACAGTTGTATTATACGTATTCAGTTTCATTACTGCAAACAGTTGTATTATACGTATTCAGTTTCATTACTGCAAGTAGTTGTATTCAATTTCAGTGCTGCAAACGCTTCTGTGTTAAGTAAATAATTTTGTTACTACAAACTCTTCTATTTTAAATAGTTAATTTTGTTACTGTAAACATGTGTTATAAGTAGTTAGTTTATTACTGTAAACAGTCGTCTTATAAGTGTTCAGTTTTGCTACTATAAACGTTTGTAGTATATGTATTCAGGTTTGTCACGGCAGACACTTGTGTCATAAGTGTTCGGTTTTCCTAATATAAACGCTTGTGTTATATGTAGTCAGGTTTGTCACTGCAGACACTTGTGTCATAAATGTTCGGTTTTCCTAATATAAACGCTTGTGTTATATGTAGTCAGGTTTGTCACTGTAGACACTTGTTTTATAAGTGTTTTTGTTTTGTCATGTAAACACTTCTGTTATAAGTTTTTAGTTTTGCTACTAGAAACGTTTGTATTATATGTATTCAGGCTTTTCACTGCAAACACTTGTGTTATAAATGTTCAGGTTTGCTACTATAAACGTTTGTATTATATGTATTCAGATTTGTCATGTAAACACTTGTGTTATAAACATTTAGTATAGCAGAGTAGTAGGTATACGTGGCAGTAAATGGCTTTATGAATTTGTTAAATTTCTATATGCTAAAGATATTATTATGAGCTGGAGCTTTAAGCTGGATTTGAACGCCAGTCTGAGTTTAATATTTTGTTTGAACTACAATCACAGCTTATTGCATATTACAAAGTACATGACATAATGTTTTTTTTAAATTTCATTAAGGTTTCTCCGCTTGCAAACACACTAGTGTGTTTTGAATACGTTATTTTAACGACACCTTCATAACTATGGGTGTGATAAATACTTGAATCCTGCTGTATTTTGAAGATACATTAAATAATTACGTGTGGCATTACATTCTTCTGCTCAATCTTGAAAAGTTATTAAAGTTAAATATGCTGCCATGTATTCATAATAAGCTTTTGTATGATTTTTTGGCAAAACTTTTAGCACCGTTCTTCACAAAAATACATTGTTTATCCATCCTCAAACTGTGTAAACTTTGCCATTTTCAAAATACTCGTATTGTGTAGGGTTAATACATGTACTTTTGTCAAGAACAAAGTTCTAAAACAATACATTTCGATTGGGAATTGAAGTCAAGATTCATGTTTTATTTTTACAATTTTTTTTCCATTTGTGATATTAGGGTTCAAGTTTCTTCAGAGCACTTTCCATCTTGATTCGTACAGTATTACACCAGGCTACAACGTTTTTGTCATTTTCAAACAAGAGATAAACACGTTAAAAGACTCTTGTCAAAGTTATTGAGCTCCTTTTTGTTTGATCTATTAGTGGAATTTGACCCACATTCTTATAGCTCAACCACGTCCCTAACGTTGCGGCAAGGGGATACGATCCTAAAACCCTTAGATTCGCATACGGGGTATGCTGGCCACTAGGCCACGCCTGGCCCAATTGAGTCGTAAAAATATGGATATCTGGAACGTAAAAATACGTAAGTTGAAGACAATGATTATAGTTAACTTTTTGTCTGTAAGATAATTGATGTTTTATCTTATTCACAAAGTCTTTCTATGTGTGAATTACCTGTTGTTGTTGTTTGTTTGTTGTTGTTGTTTTAAATTGTCGTTTTTATGAAATATTTTTTTACGTTAAACCAAACAGACAGGAACGCTTTCGCTACTCAGAAGTGACATAGTCTTAAACTAAACTAAATCAAGCACTCATGTTTACCATTGTACTAAAATGCAGTTCTGTAGCTACAACATATTCCACCAATGTATATGAAACACTGACAGATAGGTCCAGAAACGTATAGAACGCACTTTGGTTGGTGTTATCTGAGGAAGTAGAGACCACATTACTTCTTTAGGGAATTCGCCGAATACAGAGTCGCCCACTCATGTTAACAAAGAAGAATGGTGTAAAAATGATAAAGTGGAGATGTAAGTGTTCCATCATACATCCATTTTTTTACTGCAGCCAACTATAGAAGACTGGTTGATTCTGATAACACACAAAACACAGCAAAGGTTCATATAGCAGTGCTTGCAATCCAACTCCCTGAAATGTCAGTAATAGGCAGTCTAATGCGCGTCGACGACTTAAACTTTTTTCTTTTCTTTTTGCTACATTATAAATAATTGTCAAGTTATGCTATTTTACAATGCTCAGTTTTCTCTTTGATGTTAAATGGTGTTTTAACAAACTCACACGCACACAATTAAAAATAAAAAATAAATAGTTTGAAATGTAAATAATATACGCATCACACGTTTCGCCATGAAAACTGAGGAGTGATAAAATAGAATTAGTTTCAACCCAAATAAGCACCTGAAAAACACATCTCTTGACAAAAAATTGACAGACATCAACAAATAATTTCTATAGCAGCTGAAGTTTCTCAAACAATCTATTTTCGGATTCTGACGTCGATCTATCAGCTATTTAATTTTCTTAAATAACACTGTATCATTTTCTTAACAATCTTTAATACAAAGAAATGTAGTTTACATCAGACATTCAGTCTGCACTTTTAATAAAATATTGATCCATTAAAGGTCAAATTTGTAAAATCTTCATTATTCGGAAACATTTACATAGATACGAGTTTAAAGAAAAATTATTTACATTAAATGCCCAAAACCCATAGTACTTAAAACTAGTTTAGAATTTCTATGTCATTAACGTCGAATTCTAGATCAGGGATTTCACCAACTAGCTTGACATAGTTATGGTGCATTATTACAAGTAGCATAAGCTGCGCAATGTTTAAGTTTTATGTTTCTATAAAAAAAAATATTTTTCCATGGTACTTGTTTCTGCATGGAAATACCGATAACAAAACCACTTTATTATCAGGTAATACTTAACAAAATATGTTGTAATACCAGAAACAATAGAGGCAATAAGAAGTAGATGAATACAGCTAATTTCGTGAAAATATCGGTTGCCAAATTTTGAAATAGATTAAAACCTTTGAATGATGAGTCAAAGCAAGGATGTCCTGGAAAAGTCTCCAAAGTCTATTCAGTGATTATGAAGCTAGTCATTGAGACAGTCAGCAAGTTAGTTGTCCATCTATTAGCGAGAAAAGTTTAAAAGTATGTGACTTGAGCTTTATTTGTTAGTAATTTTTTCCATTAGTTTGGAATTTCTGTTGAAGGTAGGTTGCTTGTGAAGTTAGATCTATCAGTGAACATAGAGTGTAGCCTGTATAGAGCGTTAGTGGAGAAATGTATTAATTCATTATTGTCAAGCGGACTGGATTTTGTATTATGTTTAACGAATAAACCAAATGAATCCACCCAAAATAGGACACATTACAACACTGATATTAAAAGTGAAGTTGTTTTGATTAAACTTCAAGATGATGACACGAGCACGAATCGTGATCGAAATTTTTCTAGAGATAATGAAACAGAAGAAAAAAAGAGACAGATAACTGACAAAAGATGAAGAAGACAGAAAAGGGAAATTAAAAAAAGATTAAGAAGAAAATGGGAGAAATAAAAGAACATGAATAGAGAGACAGAAGATTAAAAGAAGTATAAATAATACCAAGAGGTAAGAGATGGGAATTCATCAGAGGAGTTAAAACAAAGAGACTTAATACTTCAAGAAGAATTAAGATCAAAAATAAATTTGAT